TCCTGTTTACAGGTAATATATGTAAATGTTCAACAATCTGGAAAGAGGTAGATATGGAACAACATTGCCATTACAGGATAAATATCTCATTATAACAAAATCCTAAAGCTTACATGAACAGGTAATTATGAGATGTGGTAGAGTAGAGGTAACTGCAAGAAAACATTGTCCTTCATAAAAGCAGGTTGCTACCTTAGGGTTGAATATGTGTTGCTGCATGGAACAAAATTGAGAAATATAAGAAATTGAGATATTTAAAAGTTGCGGATTACTACAGTAAACTGCATTGTTTCAGACAACAAACAAAACTATTTTGCTCAGTTTTCAAATAATCCTTTCATTGATTGAATTGGACTAACAGCTACATTTATTCATAATCATGACATGTCACTTAATAACACTATTGTTACTATAAAGAAGAGAGTTGCAATGAAGCTACAACTAAACAAATACATCATCACTGACCAATGCAGAGCAATGAAACAGCTTTCAGACGTCTCATTATAAGAAACATGGTATAGACTTGTAGAGTCACTTAGTATCCACATAACAAAGAGATCCTACAATCGTCTCAAATTACCAAAATAAATGTCATTTGCCAGCAATACTAATGTAAGAATAATTAGCTTACAGGACAAACAATAATAAAAGCAGTGAAAGTAGTAGTTAAGTAAGTTGAACAAGTGAATGTAGTGAAGTTATCACAACGTCAGAATGGTTTTTGTGGTGCGAAGAAACAAAAATGTAGGCTCAGGTCGGATTTAACAAATTATTCTTTAACAACACCACAAACAATATGGTTACTTACTTCTTCACATAAATAGGCACAGATTGTACTGTATATTCATACAAAATACAAATATTTATACAAAGAACCAAAACATTATATTGATTACCACATACAAATATTCAACCTTCAACTTAAATATAATTAATAGGCGACAGCATAAAAATATCGCACTGAAATGCACAACTTGTTTTTTTCACATTCTTGAGTAAATACTTTCAAGATGTCTTCTAACATTCAGAACTGTTGGTTAGAATAATTAAGGACATTTATAATGTGTCTCAAAATGTATTTTTCAATCTAGAAGATGTAAGCTTTAATTTTCCAAAATCAATGTCTGGAACCCTTTTGCTATTTTTTTTAACATTATTAGCAACTTTAAAATACAAATGACACAACTCAAATTTAGATTTCACTGCAACTAGCACTAAACTTAAACAAATAATAAAAACACGTGTCTGCTTCTACAGTATGGTTTATATAAACCTGTCACAGTATGGTTCCACTTATAATATTGTAAACCCAACATGGCACAGGCTAGTGATTGTTTGGTGCAGATTCAACAATTGATGTGCACACAAGCAGGGAGTTGAAAAAAGAGGCAACACCAACAATAACAAAAGGCTTTCTCATTACACATTGTGCGGAGGCATTTAAAAGAACATTATGGAACAGTGACATGAAGGTTGCACTTCACTGTGCAGCTTCCTTTATGTTCTCATTCACTTGGTTGCAAATGTCAATATGAGAGACATTGAACCGCCAGTCTGTAGTTGGTTGGTACACTTTCAATCTGCTAATTTTGCAGCAGCCTGTTTTTATTGACATGCTGCAAACTGGATTTGGCCTCTGGCTTGTTGCTAATTACAGGAAACATGTTATTTACAACCGTTACATAACTGGAAGCCAAGCACAATTTCAATGCTTTCAGAGTCAGACTCAAAGCCACACATAGAGCCTAATGGAGTAACAGCAACTCCATTTCTGCTCATTTATGGCTTCAAGGAGAAATAAATGCAGAGTGCATCCTTTGCATCACATAACGTTGAGAGTGTAGTTACATGAAAACTTTGACATACTTACATAGTTACAATCACCATGGCATATTTTCAGATTATCTCCATTACGTGATGGTTTTACAGTCCTAGCAGTGAAGCTCCAAGCAGAACTGATTGATTGTCTAACAATCATTTAAACCGTGCAGAGAACATTACGAAACAGCAGTGCACTGACTGTGTAACTATGCTAATTTCAATCAGAGCAGAATTAACTCAATGTGTTGCAATGAAACAGATAATTACAGTATTTAACTAGAGAATGCAATTCCTGAAGAAATTGCTAGCGGGAATGCTTTATGCTGAAAAGCTGACGCTGAATTGCTATTCTGAAATGTAATGTGTAAGAAGAAAGTGAAGAATTTAGATTGAAATGATACATGAACACTGGGGGCTTGAATGTGTGATAAGAGAAGAAAAGAAAGTAAAAAAGCTTGGAAAAGCAGCAGAATATTTGAACTGCAAACTATTGAACTAACTTGATGACGAATTATCTGTCGCCATGGCAACGGTATTTGATAACACCCCATAATACGCTTAGATGTTTTGATGGCTGCATCGTTACCCCACCTGTGAAGTTTTGGGCCGTTTGGAGCATTTTCACTGAAGTTATGAGAAAACCGTGTTTCATAGCGAGAATTGTGTTGCCATGGCAACGGCATTTGAAGAAATTTCAAAACTGTCACGTAGATGTCTTCACGGCTGGACTGTTAGCACACGTGAAGTTTGAGCACTTTTTGACCATTTTCATAGGAGTTATAGCAATATCGTGTTTTACGGTGAAGGATGCGTTGCCATGGCAACAGCTTTTGAGGAAAACTCACTAATGGCACATAGACATGTTGAGGGCTGGACCATTAACTGTCATCTGAAGTCTGGTGGTGTTTTGACCATTTTCATATCAGTTACGACAACATCGTGTTTTTTGGCGAGGGATGCGTTTCCATGGAAACAGCCTATGGTGAGATCTCAGATTTGGCGTAGAGCTGTTGAGGCATGGACCGGTGATATAGAAGCGAAGTTTGGGGACGATCGGACCGTGTCCATTGGAGTTACAGCGACATCGTGATTCATGGCGAGGTATGCGTTTCCATGGAAACGGCATATGATGACACCCCATAATTGACATAGAGCTGTTGAGGGCTGGACCATTAACCATTATCTGAAGTCTGGTGCTGTTTTAGACCATTTGCATAGGTATCATGACAACATCGTGTTTTATGGCGAGGGATGCGTTTCCATGGCAACAGCCTATGGTGAGATCTCAGATTTGGCGTAGAGCTGTTGAGGCATGGACCGGTGATATACAAGCGAAGTTTGGGGGACGATCGGAAATTTCAAAGCGTGAAGCATGTCAAGGAACTTGAGCATCTGTACGTGTACTTTTTGTGTACTTTCGGGTTAATAATGTGGCCTTTTTGGCAGATTAACTAAAGGTGTGCGGCTGCTGTGGTGGGGAAAGATGAGGCTGAACTTACAATGGGTTTTAATGGAGACATGTTGAAAGTTTTTGTCACTTCATGCCCTCAAGAGGCATTTTGTTTAATTATTTTTGCTTAATTTGTTTTAATTTTTCAAGCTACGAGATGTTTTCCTACGTTTCTCATGAAAAATGATGCCTCAGGAATGTAGGGTTTGGGAATTATGGCAAGTTTAAAAGAAAACATGAAGGCAAAATTAAATCTGTCCTCCACTCTAGCTGTGACATCACACACTCTAAAATCTGAAGAAGGCCTCTTTACCAAGGTCTGAACAGTGTTTAATATCTCTAAAAGTACGAATCAGATTTAAAAGTTGTGTTACACGAATAAGGTCAGAAAGATGTGTAACATTTTAAAGTTGGAATGAGGTTTCTGAGTGAAAGTATGAAGGACCAGTTAGCAGTTGAAGTTGCATGAATATTGTTCAAGTCTGACGAGTTTCTCCATTGACTTCCATGTTAAAAATGTGATGAATTATGGGATGTATCTCTGGAATTATGAAAGTTATGAATAAGAAAAGTAATAGCCATCGATTCCCGACCGAGCTGAACGTTTTGATGTTCGAACGGAGTTTCTGCGATGTGGAATGTGGGAGAAGAAGAGGTGCAAAATAACCCGGCGGAATAATAAAGAATTTCGTGCGTAGCATAACAGATAGTTGGAATGCTGTATCAGCATTCCCACTAAATTAAAGATAGAGTAGGCAACTTTGGGGAAAAAACAGCAAAAATAAGTTGGAAAAAGATCCCTTCATGCCTCCATCTAAAGATACAATTCATGAACATGCATTGCAAGACCACCTCTGGAGTTTGAGTTCATGAGAGATTGGGTAGATGAGTGCAGAGCATGTATTCATGTATCCTTCAATCCATTTATTTTATCAAGTTTTGTGAAGCTGTGTGCATATCTCTGTATTCCTGGTTGCAAGATACATTTCCCCTCAGATACAATAAAGTTAAAGTTGAAGTCTAATCAAATTATTTGATGGGCCTGCTCATAATTCTTTTTTTTTTTGTCAGAGCATGTGATTGATGGATTGCTGTCGGGATGTACATTTGACTAATAGAACAAAACATGCTTTTGAAACTAATTGCCAACCCTAGCTTTAATGCAGAGGTGATGAGAGAAGAGGCCTTTGTCACCAAACCGCAATTTGCAAAATTAGATTATTTCCTCTCCTGCAGATTTTAAGACGTCTCATTAATCACAACACACACCCTATTCCAAGCCCTGTATGAGGATTGAAAGCCCCTAAAACACATGTATCTGGAATTTGCAAAGGACAATCCTTTGTGAGATTTTGTGAAACAGGCCCCATTTCCACATCAACCCTCCTCTCCAAACATGATATAAACATTAGATTAGACTTGTTATCTGCTTTTGTATGGAAATCTGCTCCATTTTAACTAGTAGTCCTGCTGACAAACAAAACAAATCAAAACACAACCCAGTTGGTTTAGGCAACAGAACAGAATTATAGACAAAGTCTGTTTGGCATTATGTAGGAACAAATCTAATAGCATATAATACAAAATATTTCAGGTTCACCCTTGATATCGGCTGACACCAATTACTGCAGAATAAGTAGCAAAACACTTTATGGGGACTTGATTGAGCTGTGTAACTGTTAAATAAAAACTGCTTATAACATTCATTGAAAGCTGACCCGCTCAACGATCCATCTATGCTCAAGAGAAGCTTAAACATCAATATTATCCATCAAGGTGCAGTATTAAATAATTTCTTTATCCATGCGGTTAAAGGAGCCGCTTTGATACAATGCTTCTAAGTCTAATCAAGCAATGCGAATTAAGCGAAAATCTCTGCACCGTCTGAATGTACAATGTGTGGAGAATGATGTGTGTACATTTCTTACATGCATATGTTTGTGTGTGTGTTTGTGAGAATACACTTCAAGAGAACTCTTCAGGTTGAGCGCTTGGAGCCCCTCCATTTTGCGTTGGCACACTGCCCCCGTTGCTTGCAGTGATCTCCGTGTGGCGTGCTGTGATGTAGCTTCGCTTCTTGGAAGACAGGGATTGCTTCCTCCCAGAGCCGCCGCCATTGCCCTCGGCAGGGTCGTAAACCACCACCACAGTGGTATCCATTCTGGACAGCGTGTACATGCTGCTCTGGCGGGTCGGGTGCATCCGCGTTGAGCGAAGTTCCAACTCATCGTAGCTGGATACCTTGATGAAAGGGCACCAACGAAATGCACGCTTGAAGCCAGCGCGAAACCTGGTGCCACATAAAGAGGGAGAGGGAAAGGGTTGAAAAACACAGGGCAGAAAAGTAAGTAAATGTGTGAAGTGGGTATTTTGAGATATATAAAATTGAATAAGCAACCAGTTGTATATAATATAGTTCAAAACAATACTGCACAAAAGGTTAGCTGACAAGAGATTATATTTAAGGTGCCAGTGAAGCTTTTTAATAGGTAGTACGTGACCCGTGTCTAAATATTTGTCTAGTTATGAAATACAAGTCTGTGATGTGGAAGTGCAGTATTTATGGTGAGGGTACTCCACAGTAAAGAGACAGTACTTGTGATCCTGGCTTGGAGCTTTTTCAGAAGGCAATTATTCTTTGAGACACAAAAGTAATTACATTTTTAAGAGCAATATCATTTCTTAAACCCCTTTTTTAAACTGTCATAACAACTCATTAATACGGCAATTTAATCACTAGAGAGATTCTATGTTTTCCATCCAATGAGATTACCAGAATACCCTTGATCTTACATATAAAGCACTTAATATAACTCAAGAGGAACTTAACTGTATTACCCTCAGTGAAGAAAATGTGTTTTATCAACAAACAAAAATAAATCCCACTGTTGTTGTTTGATGTAGTAGCGCTGTCAGTAGTAGTTTGGATTGCCAACACAACCCTGTTGTTACTCACCTGCTGTTGAGGCAGCAGTAGATGATGGGGTTGTACATGGTGGAGCTCATTGCCAGCCACAGCACGGAAAGGTAAACCTGCTGGATGTACTTCCACCTGCTCAGACGCTTGTTAAGACCCATCACAATGAAGTAGATGTGATAGGGCAGCCAGCAGAGGGCAAAAGTCACAACAACAATGATCATCATCTTCACCACCTACGAGAAGAAGGAGAGAACGAGGATGAGAAACATTCACCAGCTGTCATTGGTAGCTCTGTTTAGGATTCCTGGAAGCATTAAGAGAGACAGAGTGAAGGACAGCACTGTGTGAGGAGGAAATCATAAACCACTGCTAATCCGCCACATCCCTGGAACTGAAAACTTTGGTGGAAGAATGTGGAGCATCTAATTTTAGTAGCTTCCGGATTGCAGAATGTTGGCAGTTCCTGGTAATTGTTATGGAAAACAAGAGAGTATGTACTTGTTGTTTGTTTGATCTTGTCAAATGTATGGCATATAGTGCCACAGTAAAACTCTGTATAGAGTCTATCAAATGCAAATATATTGCATCAAGATAAAACCCTTGAGATGCATCGTTTCGTTTCAAGGGGGTCCCAGAACAAACTCGAAAAACAACACAAATCACAAGGCACACCACATAACACATCAATGTGAAATAAAGAAATAGATAACCTCCCCTATAGCAAAAATGAGTTATAGCCTAAGCACTGCAATTACCATCTTGTGTTGAAAGTTAGCCGTCTATGATAGAAAGTGATCTTGGTATGAATCTGCAAAACGTATTTGTATTATTATATGTTACATTGAGAGGAATAAGAATCATTTTGAAAGATTTTGGATAAATAATGTCGGCAAAGTCCAGACTGCGCCAAATGTTCTGGCCAGTCTTACTTTCTTGTTGCATGATAAGGTGCACACTGTTACTACGTGCTAATGGTAATAAATTCCTATTCCTAGAATACAGCAGGATAATATTTCTGAAATATATGCTATAGGGTAAAGAAAGATAAACTGTTCTTTATCTTACAACTTCTATGGCAAATCGTAAAATGGTATTAAACCATTTTCCTAGTAGTTACACACATTATTAAATATAAAATGTCTCTTATTTTCTCAATTTTCTCTCTTTTTTATGAATTATTTAACAACTCTAGGAAGTGAAGTTAATGAATGGTTCTGCATTGTCTCTGTGTGATAACTGGGAACACAATCCAAAAGCAGGCAGCACAGGCACGCTACCAGAGACAAAACAGACATCATTGCATTCCTCCCAAAAACTAAACAAAAGTCCTGGCACCCCTTGTTTTGAGTGCATGTCTCAAAGAAGTTTACGGCATCCTGTAAACGGTGCTGGAAGGATGCTAAACAGTGGTAAAGCAGTCAGTCAGTAGTTTTGTTTATGCCAGTGTGAACATTTAATGAAGACTTCTATTCTCTCTATTGTATTTGCTGGGGACTATTTTTAGCAGCATATTAAAACACAATGTGTTACAGTTTTTTAAAAAGCTGTCCTTTCCTTTTGAATGAAGTTAAGTTTCTCAATATGATTGATATGTAAATAAACTTGAGGAGGAGAAACATTTGCTAAGGGATCTTGGGTTGAGTTTAAACAGTCCATATTTAGACTGCCAATGAACTCCATACAACATATATTACCCACACACGGTATTTCATATGAGGCTAGCTTCTTGAATGTGTAAAGAATGTCTCTGCACTGTAGAAAATGGCTGTGAAATCCACAGTTATGTACAGTGTTTGTGCACAGTCAATTACTGTATACTATTTTATCGTATAATACCGTGTTTCCAACCAGAAATTACAGTACCTCTGGAGTTACTTTAAAAATATCAGTAGTAACGTCCCAACTGTATGTACTGTAGAAAATCACAGTAACCAACAATGTACTGTAGAAGATCACAGTAACCATCAATGTACTATAGAAAATCACAGTAACCAACAATGTACTGTAGAAAATCACGGTAACCAACAATGTACTGTAGATATTCACAGTAACCAACAATGTACTGTAGAAGATCACAGTAACCAACAATGTACTGTAGAAGATCACAGTAACCAACAATGTACTGTAGATATTCACAGTAACCAACAATGTACTGTAGAAGATCACAGTAACCAACAATGTACTGTAGAAGATCACAGTAACCAACAATGTACTGTAGATAATCACAGTAACCAACAATGTACTGTAGAAGATCACAGTAACCAAAAAAGAAAGAACCAACCGAAAAAAACCATTTCTAGAATAGCTAAAATATCTAAAATATCTTAAATAAACCAACATCTTTTTCTTAATATACATAATCTTGATGCAGTGTATAGTTTGGCTATACTAGATATTGTATATACTTAGTAGATATATATTTTTAAGACCCTATGTCTTTGCAAACCGGAAGAACTACAACTGTGGTGCTGATTTGTACCAAGCTGCATAGCGTGGATCTAGGGAATTGTAATTTTTAAATATAGTGTTTTTCCTAAAATTGGAAGTTATAAATACTGAATTACGAATACACTGAGGGTTTAAGGGGATGGCAAACACATGTGTGTAATCAGATTTTAAATATCAAATTGAGAAATGGGTGAAAATACATTTTAACCAAGTGCCCCCAGCTTTGACTATACTCACATGATAGCTGAGGTCAAGAGCTCTCTATAACAGTATGTCCCATGTCTGTAGTCCCTTTTGTTGCTTAATTATAAGCCTTCAAACATGCACCGAGGTCAAGGTTCAAAGGTCAGTATTTCAAAGCAGAAGCCATGTGGAATCTTCATACTGACATATGTTACTCTCCAGGTCAATACCTTTCCAACAATGTATTTGGTGTACCTCTACGGCAAAGTTTTCATCTTCTCATTTCATGGTCACAAGCCATCCCAGGTGTAAAGTTTCAGAGAGCACTTTCAAGGCCCAATATAGAAGCTTTTTTTTTTGTTTATTTGTTTTTGTTTTATGGAAATAGTGACCAAAATGAGTCACCTTAAGAGATTACAATACTACAGAATCTGTTTCATTAGCCAATGCAAGCATACAAAGAATGTGTCTTGGCATTGCGCCTTAAAAACGCAACACAGAGGAATAAAAATAGACAAAAGTAAGGTAATAATCATAATTTGTATTATTATTGTGGCGGCTCAATTCCCAGTCCAGTTTGAGTCGCCGAGAGGCTAAGCTTGGCTATAGGCTGTGACTCGTTTTCAAAGAGAAAATCCACACCGAAGTAATATAGTCTGACAATATTTAATAAACAAAAACTAACTACAAACTATAGGGACAAAAACAGTCAACAGAAAAAATAGGCTTGTTTGAGATGAGCTGTGGCTCGCCTCAAAAGTACGAGAATAGCCGATTGCAGCCGGGGGAGGTCTCAAAAAGCTCGCCTGAAGTCGGACAGCTCGGAGTCGGCTTGACTCGGTTTGCAATGGCGGAAATTGCGTTGGCGTTCTTCGTTGCAGATGAAGTGGATGCAATAGAAATCCCACAATTATTATATCACTACAAATGAATGACTCAAGTGTCTGTTCATTTTAAAACAAATCAATACAAGGGGGGTTGAATCCTACATGTAAAAGACAGAACCACTACTTTTCAAAACTACTTCCGTCAGTGGTCTTGACCAGTTTGCATTTATAAAGAATGCACAAATGTGTTTAATCGTTAATGTCAGATATGTACTAAGTAAATACATTTGTTCCTGCTCAAGATTAGATTAAACTTTATTGTTATTGCACAGATTACAGGTACTGAGACAACGAAATGCAGTTTAGCTTCTAACCAGGAGTGCAAAAAGCAGTAAAGTGAAAAGTAATGTACACAATCTACAGAATAAAATATAGAATTAATTGAATGATGAATAAACAGTGAGGGGTATGAATACACTAGATATACACAATAGCCTATGAGCCAATTGGAAAGTTTAATCACCAGCACGGGGTAAAAACCACCAATGAGCGCTTAGCTCGATATGCCAGCGAGTCGTTTCCCATGAAGCATTTCGCTTTTGCAGCTCGTGGAGAGAAACTGGTGGTGTTTCTCAATGTCGAGGACGCTTCCTTGGTAAGACATGTCTTCCGAGTCAGGTCCATCAGAGGCAAGAATCCTTCCTGGCATTCGGAGAACGAAGAATGGAACAGGTGTGTGTCATATGAGAGGCCCCGCCTTACATTTTCCGCCAAAGATTTGGGAAATTGGTCCGTGCGCAAAGCATTATGGGGATTTTAAGACCGCAGAGGATACACATGTGCAGCCTCGAAATTTCCCGCAACGAAGGACGCCGGCCTCGGTAGGATTCCAAGCATCCTGGACATTGGAACAGTCCTTCGGCGGGACTCGATGACGTAGCATCCTTGAAATAGTGGCTCTGGAGCAGCCTTCCTCGACATTGAGAAACTCAACTCAGCGCTCGGCCACGCCCTTTGCTGAACCAGGAAGTAACCTCCCCCAATGGACATGGTAACTCAAGAGACAAAGAAAGTCATTAATACAAATAATTTTGTCAGTTAATTTATGTAACCGTAGCCAACGTTTGACAGTCCGACGTCAGGCCGCTTAGTGAAAAAGCAAGTTAAGCTAACTGTACTCGGCTAGCTTATCAACATGTCTTACACGTGTAAGGTTTGTAAGTTCCGTACAGGGTCCATTCCTGCATTCATTTTGCATGTTAAAATTCACAGAAATCTTGCAAACATTAGATTTCATTGTGGACATGCAGAATGCCCTACTGTATTCAAAGTGTTTTAAAATATTGTATATTATCTAAGAATAGTGATAATGTATTTGCCAAACAGTGCCTTTTGTTGTTGTTACATGCTCCCCTCCGTGTTGTCTTTTCTGTCTCCCTGCTGCACAGGTGTGCCTGGTCTGCCCCTGGCTCCGCCTCTGCCCAGGTGTTCCTAAATTCCACTCAGCCGGGTTATAAGGAGAGACTGGAGGAGAAGGATCAGTCGCCTATCCCTATGCCGGAAGACTCTGTCTGTGGACGATCTCTCTGCTGTTTTTGAGCTGTAGACCCCTTTGCTATTGTGTTATTATGTGTATTCTGGAGGATCTGGTAGTCTAGTTTTCGTGGCTTTATTTTGTTTCCCGTAGCTTTTGTTAGATTTCTGGTTAGGGGAGGGAAGCTCTGGGTCCTACGGCCTGTGGTGTGGCTGGCTCAGGCCCCCTCCTTCGTTTTTTT